CTCTGCTCTAAGTGGGAAATTGGAGATATAACACAAGATTGGAGAATAACAAAGTCAATAGATGATTTAAAGAATAACTACCTTAATATTCTGGGCCATATTAAACCATCATTATTCGATATGATTCCTTTATCCAATTACGTATTTAACGAGTTGCATATTTTGCTGCAAATTGAAGATCGACTCTGGTCACTAATGTTATTAGAAATTAAAGAACAAAATTTATTCAATAATATTAGTCACCAAATTATTGTAAATGAGATGAATCGGCTTAATATTAAATTTCAATTTTGGAAAGAATCTAATATATGGAAACATACATCATTAAGCGGTAGTAACAAAATTAAAGTGCTACAACACTTTAATTTAAATCTTCTTTTCATCCAAATTGTGCCAAGTTAATTCAATCTTTGTAAAACAAATTTGTTGATTTGTATAAGGCGATATGCGACCAAAATAGTGATCCCTTATATATAAAACAATTGTCACTTGAATAGTTGAAACTGTTTTTAAAACCTGATGAGAAGGATTCAAAAGATTCATACAATATCATCAAAAGCCTTTATTTGCTAATTCATGTAACACTCTATATTCATTTCTTAGTATTTCACAGATGGGAATTACAGCAAAAACATAAACAGTAGAAAATAAAAGCATTTTCTTGCAATGTGGTTGAAAAAAAAATCATATGCATATATTTTATTTTTTTTCGAAAAACTACCCTAAATGGTGGTAATTCTCAAAATGCGGCCATAATAGAAATTTTAGAATATGAGTCATGAAACCTTTTTTATATATATAACGATCTTTCAGAGCAATACAAAACTAAAAAATTTCATATTAAATAAAATTGTATAACATGATTGTAATAAAATATTTACTTAATATTCATTTAAATTTATTTTTATTTGGGTTAATTGAAATCTTCTTAAGCATCATTTTCGATGTGATTAATGAGTGATTGTACTACTCATATATTACAATCAATCAAAATAAACATTGCAATCGATACTTGAGCAGTCCTCTATTGATTCTTCTATTATTTATCAAATGTAATCATCAAAAAAATAAAAAATAAAAAACAAGAATATCTATCTAACAGAAAGTAATAGAAAGTTGAATTTGTTGTTATTTGAGCAAAAACCGAGAGATGGTAAGTATTTGTTATTGTTTCTTGAGCTTCTCAATTTTTTTTATTTTTTACAAAAACTTTTAATATTAGAAGATAATATTTGTTGATGTCGAAAATGATGATCTATGGCAAAGTTGCTTGAACAATCTCTTTGAATACTCTAT